TGGTGATCTCTGGCCGAGCGTGGTGGCTTGCACCTATAATCCTAGCACTCAGGGGGCCAAGCCAGATGGATTGCTCGAGCTCAGGAGTTCAAGATCAGCCTGAGCAAGAGTGAGACCCTGTCTCTAATAAATATAGAAAAACTAACCTGGCATTGTTTCAGACACCTGTAGTCCCAGCTACATGGGAGGCTCAGGCAAGAAGAACTCTTGGGTCACCCAAAAGTTTGAGGTTGCTGTCAGATATGATGCCACAGCACTCTACCTAGGACAACAGGGTGAGACTCTGTGTCAAAAAAAAAAAAAATTTTTTTTGATGGCCTTTCTGGACCACAGTCAACTCCTTCACCTAGTTTTCCTTGCATGCTGAGGGTCCCAAAATGACTGAACTTGAAAACATTGTTCTTTAATTTATTAATTCATTCAATGTTTACCAAGCATAAGTCAATAAAACCCCTAAAGAAGGCAATTTGGCAATATCTACCAAAACGACAAATGTAAAAAACTTTTGAATTGCATTCTGAGAACATGTTTCATAGATGCATTTATTTTTATGCTTAATCAAGTCTATATAAGGTTATCGGGCACCAGCCACATACACCAGGGCTGGCAGGTTTGAACCAGGCCCAGGCCTGCTAAGCAACTATGATGACAACAACAAAAACAAAAAAATAGCCAGGCATTGTGGTGAGGTGCCTGTGACCCCAGCTACTTGGGAGGCTGAGGCAAGAGAGTTGCTTAAACCCAAGAGTTTGAGTTTGCTGTGAGCTGTGATGCTATAGCACTCTAACCAGGGCGACATAGTGAGACTCTGTCTCAAAAAAAATATATATATTGGAAACAGCCCAGATAAACATTAATAGTGGACTGGTCATAGAGTGAGCTGCTGCCATGGAACGACACGCAGCTGTGAGAAAGGCACCAGCTCTGCACTCTGGTGGCAGGAGCTCAAAGACATCTTGTTAAATTTGTCTTACAAGGTAAAGTGCAGGGTAGGTAGTACTCCACATTTTATGTAAGAAAGGGAGGGGAAAAAAAGAGTATACATATTTATTTGGATATGCATAAAGAAAGCCAGGAAGGACATTCAAGAAACAAGTAACAGTAGTTACCTGTGGGAGTGACGAGGGATCAGGAACTGGGTGGATGGGGCTTAATGCTTCGAGGGAGAATATTTTAACTTAAATAGATTTATATTTAGTCTTTGTAAAAAAAAAAAAGCTATGTGGCTGTATCATCCATTTGAATATTAATTGAAAATATGACCATTGGGCATCTCCCTGGGCCAAGCACTACTCTGGGCACAGAACATGGTGGAAAACAAGGCAATTTGAGAAAAAAAGAAATAAAACTGTCCATTCTCTGCTCCCCAGTATTATGGAAAAAATTCATACCTACAAATGGAATAACTTGGGGCTACAAAAGTGTGTTCATAGACTAAAACAAGCTCATGACGAGCATTTACTGAAAAGCCCGCTTTGGCATTCGACCTGAATGGCTGGCTGCCAGCAGCACTTGGCAGCGCTCATGATTGCTGCTGCACAGGCTCAAGAAAGGAGAAACTAGAATTATTCCTGGGTTTGGCCGTACTTGGTGAGCCTCTGTCAAGATGGCTGGGGAGATGCTGTCTCTGGCTGAGGTCTTCCTAGAGAAACCTCAGCCTGCTTCCTGACAGGCAAGCCAAGATGAATACTTTCAGGAGAGGGCAATATGCTGGATAAGCCGTTACCATCTATTTGTCCTATAGGAAAAACAGGCACCTGAGAGGAGAGGAGAATCCAGGACAGGGGAGCTTTGATAGGGTCTGGACATTGAATTCTAGGGACTTCCCAGCCCAGGGATGACTTGCCACTGGGGTGTGAATCACTGTTGCCAGCTAATGTTTATTTCGTGTGCACCTGTGCCTCCTAGCCACTGTGCTGTGTTGATTAGTTCAGAGAATCACCAAACCCTCCCACATAGGTAATTTTGCTCCTCTTTATTTTTAGAGATGAAGAAACCAAGATACAGTGAAGTCACAGAGCCAGCAAATGGGAGAACTGGGACTCTAAGCCAATTCATCTAACTCTGCATCCTGAAGCCTCTTAATCCCTCTCCCTACATCTCTGGGCCCCCAGGGTGGAGAAGGAGAGCAGGACTACCCTGGGGTTCTCTATGGCCAGCACCCAGCACCCTGGGTGGCTGGAGCACTATCAGGGACAACATTTTCCTTCCCCCCCTTTGCAGAGCTCACCTGATCCTCCCAAACCTGAGCCTCCCCCCTGCCCAGCACCCCATTGTCTCTGAGTATAAATAGACTCCCCTAATTTGCCTGACCTTGGAATCTTTTCCTCTGGTCTGTACCCACCCTGGGCTCTGCCTCCTCTTATACACACAGTCTTTGTCTTCTTATGAAAATGATCTGGTTCTGCCCATAAAAGTATCCAGCCTAAAAGGAGGTGGAGAGAGGACACCTCATGGAAAATTAGAGGAACGCATTTCTTTGTATTTGAATACTTCCAGGACCTCGCTCTGGCAGCAAACCAACTCTGGCTTGGACTCCAGCCTTTTCATGCCATGGACTGTTCTGGTATCTGATGAAGCCTGTAGACATCTCAGAAGTGCACAAAATAAAATACTTAGAAGCACAATGGAAATAAATTATATTTAAAAACAGGTTTATCAAAATGTTTGAGATGCAGTAACATGATGTACTTCTTTACTGGCATGTTAAATAACAAGATCCAACATTGGGTGTAATTACCGTAATTTTATCTCAAGATATGTGCAACAGCTGTAATGTAATATGAAAATATCTGTGATCTCTATAGATGACAAGTAACAGGTGCTGCTAACAGTAATGGAGTTTGTGCCTCAAATCTACCATGAAAGGAAAGGCTTGAATTTCAGTTCAAGGTTGGGGAAAAGTAAAGATATAATCTCCCTCCTCCACCACCTTTCCCTTTTTTTTTTTTTTTGAGACAGATCCTTAAGCTGTCCCCCTGGGTAGAGTGCTGTGGCATCACAGCTCACAGCAACCTCCAACTCCTGGGCTTAAGTGATTCTCTTGCCTCAGCCTCTCAAGTTCCTGGGACCACAGGCACCCGCCACAATGCCTATTTTTTTTTTTTTTTGGTTGCAGCCATCATTGTTGTTTGGCGGGCCTGGGCTGGATTCAAACCCGCCACCTTCAGTGTATGTGGCTGGCGCCTTAGCCACTTGAGCCACAGGCGCCGAGCCACCTTTCCCTTTTAGAGAGCCCTCGTCTTTGTCAGCTCAGGGCTGGAATTTCTTTTCTGATCTCATAATATCCCCGACTTACATCTGTGGTGGAGAAGACCAATTAGCATGTGCAGGAATGATGGTTCCCCCTAATGTTCCAGTGTCAGAGCTGGACATTAATTATTTATAAAAGTGATGTTCCCAGTAGCTGACCCTCTGAGAATACTTACCGGTGCCTATGTGCTTGCCCATGCAGGGAGAGCACTACTTACCGTGTTTCACCCTATCCCTACTCTCACAAATGGGAAACACAGGACAGAGATGGGGAATGAGCGTCCCAGGCTGAGGTCACAGATTTGACTCACGCCCTCACTTATACTCTAGACTGTACATATCACGCCCCCACCCTCAGGCATTTCCATCTTGATTTGAGATAACCCATGACAAAGTGTAGTGACAATAATAATGATTATAGTTACCGACAGGGACAGATCAGACCCTCTGTACTTCACCACCACCACCATCATCATCAAAGTAATGGCTAATCACAGACACTTATGTTATTCCAAACCCTTTTGGAAGAGCTTCCCTCACTTCACCATCCTAACAACAGATCATGTGGTCACATTATTGGCCCCATTTCAAAGATGAAGATAATGAAGCCAGGAAGCCAGAACGGTTAGGTCATCCGATGAAGGTTGTAATATTCCAGTAAGCTGGAATTCGAACCAAGAAATCTGGCTGTACCACCCTTATTTTCTTTTTAATTCTTTCTTTTTTTCCTCTTAACCTCTACAAGACAGCTTTGAACATCTTCATTTTTTTTGAAGTAAACTGTTTCATTGAAAACAATGCATAAGCCACAAGTGCGGAACCTGTTTCTTCCCACAATGAGCACACCCGTCCAGCCCAAGCCCCAATCAAGAAATGGAATGTTGTCAGCTCCCAGCAGCTCCTCACCCTATCTCAGTTCCCAAGGTAACCACTATCCTAACTTTTATAATGTTTTTGAATTTATATAAATGTTCCTTCATTCCTAACCGCTATGCTGCTATCTCAGTCCTCATGATGACCCCAGAGCCGGGACAGTAGCTTCTTCTTACACCACTTTACAGATGAGGAATTTGAGGTGTCTACAACAAGGTAGGGACGGACCTGAGACCCTACCCCAGTGCATGATGGAAGGAAGATTCTGACCCAGATCCTTGGGACTGGGTGTTTGTGACATCTGCTGTCTTCCCTTCTGCCCAGCCTGGATTTTTGCTATGAAACTCAGAAGTACATTAGAGATTCAGGAACGTTTGCATGATTGCGGCTTGATGCCCAGGGCCCAGATTTATATGGCCTGCTGCAGGTAGTGGGTGTAAGGGGGTATTAGTATAGAACTTCTCCACCAAAATACAAATATCCTCCATGAGGGAAGGATACATAACACTTAAATTTGCTGCTTTGCTAACAAGGGCAGTGCTGTGGACGTTAGCCAGGGTCTGGTCTTCAGCTGTGACAAAGATGGGGGGTTGTGCGGAAAGAGGCCAAATCCAGTCAGGCAGCTCAACTGCTGGCTGGGAGGCAGAGAAGACCTTCCCTACCCCTCTCAGGCTGCTAGGTGACCCTCCACACAATGCCTCCAGCCAGCCAAGGTTCCTGCCCCAAAGCAACAGAAAACAAGCCACCAGCCCAGAGGTGGCCCTTGGGTTGCTGTGTGCTGCAGCAGTTGGGGAGGGCATGGGCTTAGGCAAATGAGCCAGACCACACACACATATAGCAGCTGGCTGGGCTCTCCACCTCTATGCTTGCTGAGGATGGAAGGCAGTCTAAAGCCGCTCAGCCTGGGGAGGGGGCCACCAGGGCTGGGAGACAGCCACGCCCTGGCTGAGCTCCAAGAGCTGGCCCTGAGGTGGTTCATGGAGACGCAGGCCCCCTTCATTCTGCAGAATGGGTCCTTGCCCCCCTGGTTTCACGGATTCATCACCCGCAAGTAAGGCTGCCCCTGTCCATGTGTCCTGTGGGGCCCGTGGCCCCTTGAGGCTGAGAAAATAGCCTGGGGACTGTGGGTCTGCTGTGCTAGGCAGACCCCCAGGGAGGTGGTAGACGGGGGAACAGACTGAGGAGTGCTATGGACTCTAGTGGTGGCTTCTGTGGGCAGGGTGGGGGAGGGTGGCAGCCCCTACTCTGATACAAGTTGAGGGTGGATGGGACTGCCAGAGAGCAGATAGAGGGCCGGGCCCTGACTTGATGAGTAATTTGGGAACAGTGTCGTTTATCATCCAAACCAGACACTATTGGTAACTAAGGGCTGTCTCAGCAAACCTGGACATAGGTCATCCTCAGAATAAAGTCCAGGGGATTTGGCTTTCTGATTGGGCTGTATCGACAAGTTGCCAAAGCACTAGACGAAGGACTGACAGATCCAGCTAGTCATGCCCTGACATGGCACCCGCTTAGAGCCAGGCCAGCTTTATGAGCATGGATGTGCAGCTGCGCGGGGACTGTGCTCAGAAGGGCCTCATCCTTGGCTTTGCGCTCTGTTGTCACTGCCTTGGAATTCTTAATAAGTTTTGAAGAAGAGGCCCCCCTTTTCATTTGGCACCAGGCCCTGCTCACTATATAGCCGGTCTTGCATACAGCAAGCACTCAGTAAGTATTTGGCAAGTAAGTCAGTGAGGGAATATGTATCTGGCTTGTGTACTGTCAAGCCAGAAGACAGCTGGAATTTTCCACCATGCCTCCAAAATACTTGGCACCATCTACAAATATCCTAGCTGCCCGGGGTTGAAAGGGACGTGAAGTGGAGTGAGTCCTTGTAAGCTGTGTTATGACCAAGCTTCAGACATAATAGAAATTTTTGTTTAGTGTACATCCTGCACAACTGTACACAGCAGTCCTGAGGGAAAGATCTCCCCACAACACTGTATGGATTTATTCTTGTCATCCAGCCGTCCAAACAGGGAGTAGGCCCATCTAGGGTCAGTGCCAGTGTGCCGACTGATGAGGCCACAGTGGGGAGTACTGGGTGTTGTGTGGACTTACATCCCCAACCCAGCCCCAGACTGAGCCTTAAACTTGTTCAATTAGGCCTGGAAAGACCCCAGACAGAGCCAACAGGCTCTGAGATTCTTCTTTAAAGGACTGGAGGTCTGGGTACAAGGGCATGGCCTGCGGGAGCCTGAGACAGCCCTGAGTGAAGCTGCTTTGGCCGCTGCACAGGCCCTAGCTAACGGCATGTCCTCTGCCCAGGCAGACGGAGCAGCTACTCAGGGACAAAGCTCTTGGTTCCTTCCTCATCCGCCTCAGTGACCGGGCTACTGGCTACATCTTGTCCTACAGGTAAGAGGGGAAGCTCTCTGCAAGGGGTGAGCAAGCTCAGGTTCCCATGACCAGCTTTGCAGATTATGAGTGCACGAGCCCCACCGACCTGCTCTGCCTGGCTTTCCCAGGCCTGACTCCCTCTCTGCCTCCCTCGGCTGTCATGTGCTCAGCAGATGCGTTCTGAGCAACACTGGCCATATGCCAGATATGAAGCCACAGCCTACAAAGGGGGTGAGTGGGGCCAGAGAAAAATATCCTCCCGATAGGATGCTGGGGAAGGCGTCACAGAGGTGAAACTTGAGCCTAGGATAGAAGGAAGAAGATAATTTTCTAGGCAGAAAGGAGGGTGTGGGTTATGAGGAGACTCCTGGTAGATGGAACTGCACAGAAAAAGTAGAGGCATGTTAGGCAAGGGGGTTGGAGGGCAAGGGAGCCATGAGTCAAAGTCTGGGTGTAGCACAGTTCCTAGTAAGGAATGCCTGGAGGGGAATGGGGAGGGTGGGGCAGCCTTGGATGCCTGGCAGTCCACAGATTTGAAGGGTAATCTGGGCGGACTTGAATTGTGCAAGGATTCTTCAGGCAGCCTAGGGAGAGGGGGACTAGAAGTCAGAGGCTGTTGTTAACACTGTTGTGTTAACAGTGAGATGATGAGGGCTAGGACGGGGCAGTGGAGATGGGGAGGTGGAGACAAGGTGGCTGAGACAAAAGCAGAGATGATGTGGGATCCTGTTTTGACAGTAGGTTGGGCAGAGCAAGGCAGAGGGAGGGGAAAGGCTTCTGGAGTAGGGAGGGAGGTCAGGCAGACTAATGCAGTGGTTCTCAACCTTCCTAATCCTGCAACCCTTTAATACAGTTCCTGTGGGTCGCGACTTGAGGAACTGCTGCTTCAGTGGCTTCAGATTCTGGGTTTGTTTGTTTGTTTATTTGAGACAGAATCTCAGTTTGCTGCCCTAGGTGGAGTGCTGTAGCATCATAGCTCACAGCAACCTCACTCTTGGGCTCAAGTGATCCTATTGCCTCAGCCTCCCGAGTAGCTGGGACCACAGATGATCGCCATAAAGCCTGGCTAGTTTTTAGAGATGGGGTCTTGCTCTTGCTCAGGTTGGTCTGGAACCTGTTAGCTCAGGCAATCCAACAGCCTTGGCCTCTCAGAGTGCTAGGATTACAAGCCTGAGCAACCGCACCCACCTTCAAATTCTGATCCCAAAGTATTACCTGCCCAGTCTGTCCCATTTCAAAATTTTTTTGAGACAGCATGTCAAGCTGTTGCCCTGGGCAGAGTGCTGCGGTGTCACAGCTCACAGCAATCTCAAACTCTTGCGCTTAGGCAATTCTCTTGCCTCAGCCTCCCGAGTAGCTGGGACTATAGGCGCCCACCACAATGCCTGGCTATTTTTCTGTGGCAGTTGTCATTGTTGCTTTAGCTGGCCCGGGCTAGATTCGAACCTGCCAGCCTTGGTGTACGTGGCTGGCACCCTACCCACTGAGCTATGGGCACTGCCCCCATTTCAAATCTTAACCTTGACCAAGTTACTTTCCTTTTTCTTTTCTTTCTTTCTTTTTTTTTTGGAGATAAGAATTACAGATAAATATTTTGCTTCTCTGTTATTCCATTTTCTCATCTGTAAAATGGGAATATTGTACTGTGGTACTGACTTCATAGGATTGTTGAAAGAATTCAAACAATGTTCATAGGAATGTATCATATTTTAAAGTGCTTGGCACAGTGCATGAAGCATAGAAAGAGCCAAATTAAATTTTGGTTATTGTTAAAAAAAAATTTGTGTTTGAGATAGCATTTCACTTTGTTGCTCTCAGTAGGTCATAGCTCACGGCAACCTCAATCTCTTGGGCTCAAGCAATCTTCTTGCCTCCATCTCCCTCGTAATAGGACTACAGGCACTCACCACAATGCCTGGCTATTGTTTTAAGAGACGGAGTCTTGCTGTTGCTTAGGCTGGTCTTGAACTCCTGAGCTCAAGCAATCCACCTGCCTTCCAGAGTGCTAGGATTACAGGTGTGAACCACCATGCCTGGCCTGTTAAAATACTTTTAAACTATGTGCCATCCTGGGCACTTTGAAATATACTAATTCAGCACTTTTCAAATATCTTTTTGGCTTCATGATTTGGGGCTTTGTTGTTGTTACTGTTCTTTGATTTTGGGTTTTTGTTTTTTTTTTTCCCAGATGAGATCTTAGGCACAATGCCAATTCATAAAAGAGACCAAAAATGGGGCTACTTAAAGACATACAAAAAGACAAATGGAACAGAATAGAGTCCAAAAACACTCCCCCTGTTTGGTTATCTGATTTACAACAAAGGCAGCACTGCCGTTCTGGGTGGGAGGAGGTTTTTTCAATAATTAATGTGGGAATAATATCCAATTGGGAAAAAATGACCACTACCTCACACTATACACACAAATTACAGATGGAGCATAGCTCCAAGGATGAAAAGCGAAACAATAATACTTCTCGAAGAAAACAGAAAAAGATTTTCACAGGTAAATGAAAATGCCTTTAAAAATGGGATAGGCAAAAATTTCTTAAACATACACAAAAGCACCAATGAAAGAAAATATTGATAAATTGGATTTCTTTTAAATTAAAAATTTTTTGTTAATCAAAAGGTACCATTAAGGGAGGGAAAGGTCAACACACAGTCTTAGAGAAGTTATATATTGCTTCCTATGTATCTAACAAAGGACTTGTATCTGGAATACATAAAAAACTCCTACAAATAAATAAGACAAAAACAGATAACTCAAAAAATAAAAGCAAAAGACTTCAGTGGGCACTTCACCAAAAAGAAATATTCAAAAGGCCCATAAACATATAAAAATGTGTTCAGCATCACTAGTTATCAGGGAAACCCAAACTCAAACCATAATTAGTGGCTAAAACGGGAAGACAGATGATACCAAATATTTGTTAAGGATGTGGACCAACTGGAGCTCTCCTACACTGCAACAATTTTAGAAAACAACGTGGCATAATCTACTAACACGTTACATAAGGGTCCCCTTGACCCATTAGTTCTACTCCTTGGTATATTGTCAAAGGAAATGAGTACATAGGCTGAGTGTGGTGGCTCATGCCTCAATGCCCAGGCATTGTGGTGGGCACCTATAGTCCCATTACTAGGGAGGCTGAGACAAGAGGATTGCTTGAGCCCTGTGATCCTAGTACTCCGGGAGGCTGAGGTGGGAGGATCCCTTGAGTTTAGAAGTTCAAGACCAGCCTGAATAAGAGGAAAATCCTGTTTATACTAAAAATAGAAAAACTAGGCCAAGTGAAGTGGCTCATGCCTATAATCCTAGCACTCTGGGAGGTGGAAGTGGGTGGTTTGCCTGAGCTCAGGAGTTTGAAACCAGTCTGAGCAAGAGCAAGACCCCTTCTTTTAAAACGTAGCCAGGCATTGTGGCAGGTGCTTATAGTCCTAGCTACCAGAGAAGCTGACGCAAGAGAATCGCTTGGACCCAACCTCAGGTGGGTTGCTGTGAACTCTGATGCCACAGCATTGTACTAGGGGTGACAAAGTGAGACTCTATCTCAAAAATAAATACAGAAAAACTAGCCAGGTGTTGTAGCATGCACCTGTAGTCCCTGCTACTCAGAAGGCTGAGGTAGGAGGATTGTTTGAGTCCAAGAGTTTGGGGTTGCTGTGAGCTATGCTGCTGCTGTTGCACTCTAGCCTGGGTGGCAGACAAAGACTCCATTAAAATTTTTAAAAAGCAAGAAAAAAAGCAATGAGTACATATATTCACCAAAAGATACATGCAAGAATGTTTACAACAGCTTTATTTATAACAACTCAAACCCAGAAGTAACCTAAATGTCCATCAACAAAATAAATTGTGGATTTTTCATTAAATGGAACACTACTTATAAGTGAGAAAAAAATGAAACTAATTCTATGTGGACATGAATCAATCTTAAAGATGTAATACTGAGTCAAAGAAGCTGGACACAAAAGAGCAAGAGTGTGTAATTTCATTTATATTAAGTTCCCTAATGGGCAAAATTAATCTATGGTGATAGGGTCCAGAATGGCAGGTGCCTTTGAGGGGCACAGACAGGTACGGTGGTCTTCTGAGGGCTGGAATGGTTTCACATCTTCATCTGAGTGGTGATTATATGGAAGAGTTCATAGGTTGAAACTCATCAAGCTGCTCATTTATGGGGTGTGGACTTCACCGCATGTATGTTTTTCTTCCAGAAAAAAGGAAAATGAAAAGGGTGGGCCTTTACAGGCTGAAGTGGGATGGGAGCAAGAACACCATCATCTCAGCAGGGTGGGGATTAGGGAGAGGCTGAATTGCAAAGGTGCAGGATTAGATCTTGTTTTACATAAAACTTTGATATTTTGTTCATCATGGATTTTTTTGCCTTTATTTTGACTTTGTTTTTCTTTCTTTTTTTTTTTTTTGAGACAGAGTCTCACTTTGTCACCCTGGATAGAGTGCCGTGGTGTCATAGATCATAGGAACCTCAAACTCTTAGGCTCAAGTGATCCTCTTGCCTCAGCCTCCAGAGTAGCTGGGACTACAGGCGTCTGCCACATGCCTGGCTATTTTTTAGAGATGGGGTCTCAGTCTCGCTCTTGCTCAGGCTGGTCTTGAACTTGTGAGCTCAAGCAATAAACCCGCCTTAGCCTACCAGAGTGCTAGAATTACAGGCATAAGCCGCCATGCCTGGCCCCCATTTTGATTTTCTAAAGCATTGCAGTATTAGTTATCTTGATGTCTTCTTTGGTGCCCCCTTAAATCTCACACCCAAGATGAGTGCCACATCTGTTTCACTTTCATCCTGGCCCACCCTCTCTTACTCTGCCTGAGCAGGCTTAGAAGGCCTGCTTCCCAGGACCTCGGGGGCCCATGATCTGAAAACCTCTCCCCTAGCTTCCATGGCTGCAAGTGGGACAGGTGGCCCCAGGGAAGGTGATTCTGGATCTCAGCTCCCTCTATACAGAGCTTGGATCCAGGGCCAAGGCTGCTGCCTGTGACTGGCAGCTCCAGACCACAAGTGCTTGTGTTGCAGGGGCAGTGATCGTTGCCGGCATTTTGTCATCAACCAGCTCCCAAATCGGCGCTACCTCATCTCAGGGGACACCCACAGCCATGGCACTCTGGCTGAGCTTGTGCGCCATTACCAGGAGATGCAGCTGGAGCCCTTTGGGGAGACACTGGCTGCTGCCTGCCCCAGGGTAGGCATCCCCCTTCCCCAGGGTGAGGGTGATGGAGGGAGCAGGGATCCCAGGCCTGGTGTGTCCATCACGCAGGCACATGCCCTTCCTTGCCTTCCCTATTTACTATCACAGAGGGCTACTCCGTGTAGCCTATTGGAAAAGGGGGAGACCATGGCAGTATCTTACCCGAGGTCAGGAACCTGGTGGGAATGTTTTAGTCCCTTGCCAGCAGTCTCTGGCAGGCAGCTGGAGGCCATCTGAAAGTATGACACATGCCTACTGTGTCCCCACTGCCCCCAGCCAGAGAACAATGATCTGTATGATGCCATCACTCTGGGCCTCCACCAGACCAGCCTGAGCGTGGAAAATCCACCTGCTATGGCACAGCCTACAGTGGTCCCTGCCAAGGCCACCAGCCCCTGCCTCTTTCCAAAGCCCCAGGTCTCCTTCCTCCATGCACAGAAGAGCCTGGATGTGAGCCCCTGGAACTCTGAGGAGGAAAGCATGGAGGTAAGGAGTCAGGGATGCTAGACCAGTGGTGGGTGTTGCACCCACCTCAGCTCCTGAGTGACCATGCTGGACACTCCCTTCAGGCTGCAGAGAGTGAGCTAGGCCCAGAGAGGTACAGGGCCAGCTTGAGGTCACCGTATGGCTCAACTGTGCCTGCCTGTGGTCAGCTGGATTTGGTTCAAGGCTTGGCCTGGCCATTTTCTAGCCATGTGGCTTTGGATGAATCATGCAATCTCTCTGAGCCTCAGTTTACCCTTCCTGTGGTTCTTGTGAGCCTTGAATGAGAGAATGGATATGAAATGGCTGAAAAGTCCTTAGTAAACTGTAGAGCAGGGTGCTGGTGAGTTAATACTTTATTCTTCTCCATAGCACCCTGTGGGAAGGACTCAGATTTTTCTTGATATATATCAGATCGCAGCACAACAAAGGCTCTCTTCATGTTTAGAATAAAATCTAAAACCTTCACCTTACCAGTTGCCCTGCTACCTCTCCCTCACTTTTCTCTGCCTTCATTGGCCTTCTAGATGTTCCTTGACTACACCAAGCTTGTTCCCACCTCAAGGCCTTTGCACGGCCTGTACCCTCTGCCTAGAATGCTCTTCCTTCCAGATATCTTCATGGCTCACACTCTCACTGCATTCCACTCTCTCATCTCCTCAGAAAGACCCACTTAAACTACTGAAAAACGCCCTTTCCCACCAGTCATTCCCTCATCCCATTACCCTACTTTGTTCTTCATCGCACTGATTATGCCCTGACACTGCTTATCTTGTGGCACAGTTTATCGTATAGCACATCAAACCATGTTATAATGTAGCAGACCAGCATGTTGCCCACCTCTCAGATTAGGATAAAACTTCCAAGAGTTGGTGTTGCTCACTACTGAATGCTTGGCACCTAGGACAGTGTGAATGAGTACGTGAGTGATGGACTTGGGAGTGAACATTCCAAAGGGCCATGGATTAGTGAGTGGGTTGGTTCAGGGGCTCTGAGGACCAGTGGACCACATCAGAGGTGGGAGGAGTAGGGTGAGTGAACTTGGGTAGGAGGTAGAGCTGATGATCCAAGGCCATGAATGTCAAAGTGAATATTGTACTCAGAGTCCCAGAGCATGAGAGCTGGTAAGACCCTGAATGTCATGCATCTAATCTTTGTATGTGGCCAAGCCAGGGGACCTCAGCTTATCTGAGAGAGCACAGTTTACCTGAGGACATCTCAGCGATGGAATGTCTGTTAAGAGATTCTCTCTGTCCCTCTCTCTCCAGGCCCCCATGAGAGTGCCCCCCCTCCCTGAGAGAAGGGCCTCCCTCCTGGACGAGTCTTTTGGAGGCCCCAGTGACGTCATCTATGCAGACCTGAGGAAGATGAACCAGGCAAGGCTGAGCCTGGGCATGGAGGTGCCTGGTGGGCATGGGCCAGTTCCAGCTGGCAGCCAGGCCTGTTCCCCAGGCAAGGAGGCCCAGAGGAGACTCTCAGATGGAGACCAGAATAAGCTTGATGTCCCAGAGCCTTCCCTCTCTGGAGTGAGCCCAGTCCAGGGTCCTACTGGGTCTCCCACTTCCTGGGGATTCCTTGAGCCCCCCAGTTCTGATGTCCTGGGATCTCTGACTGCAACCTGGAGGCAGGGGTTTCTGAAGCTGAGCCAAGGGGCTCAGCTCTGTCCCCAGAGCATCTCTGAAGATACCTATGAGCTCGTGGGAACAGCAGGCCTAGCAGAAGCCAGGGATGTACCAAACCAGGGAGGCAGTACCTATGAGCAGATCCCAGCCTGCTGGGGTGGCCTGGCCCGGCCTCCACATCCTGGGGCCAGTCCCACATATAGCAAACTGTCAGGGCCCACGGACTATGGCTATGAGAGGATCTCAGAGACCCCAGGGCTCCCAGAGCCTGGAAACACTTACGAGCAAATCCCAGCAGCCAAGAGCAAGGAGACCAAACGGACACACAAGGTAAGCTCTGTGGTTGGGTGGCCCAGCTAGCATCCCTTAGGGAGCACCCAGTGGTGGAAGGGGACCTGTGGCTCTCAGGCATGGGTAGGTCAGGCCACCACCACTGCCTAGAAGTTCCCAGAAACTTCCAGCCTTAACTTATGCTTGGAGGTGGTGGTGATGGAGAGGCAGCTGCTAGGGTTGGGCGTCTTTTCAAGGACCTTCTCTGCAGCAAACCTGGGCTCCTTTCCCATTCCTCTCAGACACTCTGGGGTCTCAGAGCCTCTGAGAGGTGGAGATGGGCGTCATCAGCTCTGGTTAAGCCACTCCCTAGCGTTGTGGCTTTGGGCATGACAGTTTTCTCCCAGTTTTCCTGATAAGTAGGGTTGCTAGATTTAGCAAGGTAATTGACTTTGAATTTCAGATAAACAACAGATACTTTTTTAGTGTGTCTCAAATACTGCAATTACTCTTTGTTTCTCCAAAATTCAAATTTAACTGAGCAAATATGTTCTTATTTGGCACTCCTAGCCAGGACCTCCCACCTCCTCATCTGTAAAATGGGCTGATCGTCTGGTTATGTCTAGGGCTGGCTGCCCAGAAAATAATGCTAGATAGCCTCTCATGCTCAGGACATAGCCCAGAGATGGCTCTTGCTGAATAGAGCTAGTATTTCTGAGGATTTCTGACAAGGAAGAAGAAGAAGGGTTGAGGATGGCAGAGGGAGGCTGGCAGACAGAGAACCCTTGCTGAGCCCTCAGTCCCACCTGAACTCTGCCTATACCTGGAGACTAGAAAGTCCCCTCTCCATGGGCACTGCTTATCTTGGGCACACACAGAGCTCCTCTCGGCCTATACAGCAACTCCCAGGAAGCACTGCTAGCTCCTTTCTCAGGGCAGGGCTATGGTCACACCCTATGCACACCAGCCTCTGAGATCCTATCCCAGGGCCACAGACTCCAACGGTGGACAGGCCTAAGGATCTCATGTCTGTTCTTCCCCTGCTGCTGTCCCATGTACTCTCCCGACCCTGGTGGTACACCCCCACCCCACTCTCTCTGACTCCTGTGCACTCCAAGGCCCCAGGGTGGGGAGACAAGGGCACTCAGGGCAGTAAGGTGGAGTTCACATCCACCCCTTTCTACATTCCACCTTCCCCTTCCTGTCCTCAGCTGGATGAGGGAAAACTCTTCAACCAAACTTGGAAGGCAGAAGGTGGAATTTTAGGCATTTGTGAGCTAGAATTTCAGGCTGTGGCAGCAACCATCAATATTCCAGCCCAGCCTCAGGCTTCTAACCCCAGGTCAACAATGGGCCCCCTAGGCCTGGGTCTTGCCTTCCCTGCCCAGGAACGCAGGCTCCAGTATCTTCTCCCTCCTTGCAGCCTGACAAGTTCCGGAGACTCTTCTTCACGGACAAGAAGCACAAATTCTGAGGAGGGCCTGGCATCCAGCAGCCACCAGTGGGTTTCTTAGTACCTAGGCCACAGTAGGAATGACGGTAAAGCCCTCTGCTCGCCCAAAGGCAGGCCTTGGATCCTCAGACCCAGCTAGCCCGCTGGGGAGCCACGCTCAGAGACACAGTCTAGGGCCTGCCTGCAGAGGACCTCCCAGTCGCCTGGAGCTCCTGGTTGCATCCTGCTTCCCCAGAGCTCCCCATCCATGCAGAAGAGAAATCAAGGGGACCAGATGAGGGCAGAAGTTAGCAGCCCCATGTCCCAGATGAGCATTCTGAGGCCTGGACTGATGAAGCCTGCCTCCGATCCTGAACTTGTACTGAGCACGTGGCAGGCCTTGTGCCAGCACACACATTGTCCTGACTGGCTGAGTGACATCATGCAATTGCTACTGAGAACAAAACCAGTTCCCCCCCTTGTGGTCGCATCAGGGGGAATGAGGGAAGACCACGAGCCACATCCTGTGCTTCTGCGCCCTGGGGATCAGAGCAAGAGGCCAGGAGGTAGCAGCAAAGGCCCAGCCTCAGGGGCCAGGGCTCTGACCCTGGGTAGATGAGGCTTCCAGAGTCAGGCACCTCTCTGCCCCTGCCTTCACCCTAGCCTCATGGTGCCAGACACTAAGGGGCATCCAGCCAGCTCCCTGTGCTTCAGAGAGGAAACTGAGGTCCATCAAGGAGTAGCTGCCACTCTGGAACCACACAGCTGGTCAGCACCTGGCAGATACCCTCAGTGAGGCAGGCCCAAGCCAAGGTAGCTGCTTGGGATGACTGCTGGATTGTATCTGGAGCTGGTCAGGGGGCTTCGTATCTGGCTTCATCTGCCTTTTGGCTCCAGCTAGTCCTGACCCTTAGTAGTGGCTCTCGGATCCTGCCCACAAGACCTAGCCCTAAGCCAGTGTGGCCCTGCCCTCTAAGGAGCCCTTAGGGCCTTGCCAAGCCACCAGCTTTGGAGGCTCAGGCCTCTGCTCCTGTCCCCTAGGTCAGGCTGGCTCCCTGATCTTCCCTCAGGACCTTTCCTGTTTTCACCCATGTGTCCTCCCAGCCCCACCCCATAGGGGTGAGCATTTGGTCAGCTGCCCCACTCCCCAGGCCCAGAAAGCAGAAAGCAGAGCCCATATCCCCCAAGAGAACACCACAGATGCCCTGCTCCCCAGCCTGACCCTGGCAGAACTGGCCCAGGTCACATCTGTGTGAAATCTGCCCTACTGGCTGCCTGGCTATGCAGCTTCTCCCTCTGAAAAGTGGGCCTACACTTTCTTCTTTGGGGCCTGTAAGGATTAAGAGCAGGGCACCTGCACTGTGCCTGACACACGGGTAGCACTTTACGAGCTTGACCAGAATTCCTATGGTTATGAGGAAAATGAAAATGATTTTCACCTCATGCCCTCTGTGGGGCTTGCTGGAAGATTTGAGGTATGGATGTATCTTCTTCCCAAAGGCACACTTACTGAAATCAAAGTTAGACCTAAAGCGGAAGGGCAATGCTTAACCTGGGAGGGGACACATGAACAGTGTGACTTCAAGGACTTCAAGGACTTCAAGGAGCAAAGGTACCACCATCGAACATTTTCTAACATTGGTAGACATGGAGATGCAGGGACACAAAAGTGTTTTACTACCATGAGTTCACAAACCTGTGAACAGCACACACCAGTGAAGATTCCATAACACAGGGAGGGCGGACAAGTAGTACTCGTGACTGCAAGGCAGAGAGACTGGGCGGAGCCCTTGGACCCTCTGCTTCACCCTGCTTCACCCTCTGTGAAGTCAGCTTCACGTTGGGAAGGGTGCAGGAGAGGACCCTCTGCTTCACCCTGCTTCACCCTCTGTGAAGTCAGCTTCACGTTGGGAAGGGTGCAGGAGAGGGCAAGAGGCAGCTGCGCCCAGCCTGGAGTAGTGGGAAAAGATTGCATAGCTCCTTGAAACTCTGAAACTCTTGACTTTCTTTTTCTTTTTTTTTTTTTTTTTTTGCATTCCTCCCTGGGCAACTGTGGTATCTGTCCAGCACTTGGACAAGTCAGACCCCACCACCTCTTGTCAGGTTTTCTGCCTTCCCGTCCAGGGGCGAGAGGCACCAGGGTATGGGGGAGGCTGGGGAGAGGCTGGAGAAGAGCTGTGGGTCCTCGGGGTAGACCACAGGGGCCCTGAGAAGGGCGCTACTCCTCACACTCCACTTCTCTGGTTAAGGATTTTTTTTGCTGAAAGGGCCATAGGAAATGTGAACCCAGATGCCACAGGTCCTTTCCTGGGGAGCCTGGAGGCCACATCTGTGTAGGTAGCAGGGCTGGATGGATGGTGGGCTTCTAGGCCCCTGTAGCCTCAGCGGTGTCCTCAGATCCGGATGTGGAATGTGCTGGAAAGAGAGAAGGGCAAGAGTGGGTGAGAAGCCCTGGGCTGGGTAGGTAAAGGCTCTTCAGGCAAAAGCAAACCAGGTGCCCGGCCCAACCCTGGACAGCCCCTTTGGAGTCGTGTAGAAGGTGCAGCCCTGCGGGAAAGAACCCTTACAGGGGCAGCTGTCCCGAGGGATTCCAGCCCCCCAGGTCTTTTCCTTCACATGAGATTCTGGCCCTGCAGGGGACAAGGGCCAGTCACACATCGAGGGGAGCGGGGCCTTGAACATGACCTGTGTCCTGGCCTGTATACCACCCATCATGGACAGTGCAGGACAGGGCCCCACACTGGCGGCAGCCCCATGGGCGGCAGCACCTGAGGAAGTCAGGGGCCTTGGCAATCATGTCCTCGAAGTCTGCAAAGCCCAGCTTGCCGTCGCCATCCAGGTCAGCCTCCTCAATGACCTTTTCGCATACGAGCACCACCTCATCCTCATCCAGCTCTGACTTGGTGAGCTTGGCCAGCGTCAGCTCCAGGTCCTCCTTGCAGATGAAGTTGTCAGTGTTGAAGTCTGTGGGGTGGGGTGGGCATGTCTGAGCCAGTGCTGGACCCACCCAGGGATTCCAAGGGTCCCACTCCATATTACTGTTCCTCCCAGCTGCTCACACTCATGTGTCCACCAGCCTCCAACATCCCTAGGGCATCTCTGCACACACTCTGAGGATGCTAGGTCCTTATCTCCAGCCAAAAGGCATAGTTTGAACACCCTCATTCACAGTACTTACAGTGACTATACACATGACACTGAGACAGCTCCCAATTCCAAGTCTGAGGCTTCCTGGGAACTTCAGGTTCAGGTCAAATGGCCCTTCTGGCCTCAACCCACAGTGGACCCTGTATTCCCCTGGAGAATTCTAAAGCTAAGGAAACCAAGGTCTAGAAAGCTGTGTGATTGGCATCAAGGGGCAGGGATTCTGATTTGTGGCCTATTTGACTCAGACCTGCATCTTCTAAGCTGTTTCACGTGGCTGAAGCCAGGCTCTGAGTCAGACACGAAGGGTCAGGAGGCTCAGAAGCCCTTGTCCCATGACCAGCCTTTGTGTGTCCAGAGCAGGGAACATGGCCTCCTCCTGCCCACCAGGCAAACTCTAACATTACTGGCAATGATAAAGACCAAAACTGTTGGGCAGTGCCTGTAGCTCAGTGGGTAGGGCGCTGGCCACATACACTGAGGCTGGCAGGTTTGAGCCCGGCCTGGGCCAGCTGAAACAACAATGACAACTGCAACAAAAAAAAATAACGGGGCATTGTGGCAGGCATCTGTAGTAGAGAATCACTTAAGGCCAGGAGTTGGAGGTTGCTATGAGCTGTGACACCACAGCACTCTATCGAGGGTGACATAATGAGACTCTGTCTCAAAAGAAAAAAAAAAAAAAGACCATAACTACTAATATAAACATTTGATGCTTTTCTCATTTCGTTTTCAAAACAAGCCTACTGGGTACGCACTACTAGAATCCCCCCTGTACAAATGGAGGAACAGAGAAGGTGGCAAGGACCACCTGTACCTCCCAGCTGCTCACACTCATATGTCCACCAGCCTCCAACATCCCTAGGGCATCTCTGCACACACTCTGGGGATGCTAGGTCCTTGTCCCCAGCCTAAAGGCACAGCTTGAACACCCTCATTCACAGTACTTACAGTGTCTATACACATGACCTCCCAATTCCAAGTCTGAGGCTCCCTGGGAACTTCAGGCTCAGGTCATATCCCTGGCCAGTGCAGGACACTAGAGTGTCAGCTCCTGGTGGATACCCTTGCACTGTCCCTCTCTGACTTGCCTGTGGATGACTCAGGGGCAGGCAGCAGGTGGGACTCATCTCTGCCCTGGGAGTGGGACACACTGTGCTTTCTGCAGACATGTTCTGGCTGGCAAGCTGGCCGGCTGCATTCCTGTGATCTCTTTATATGAAGGAAACTGAGGCCCAGCGTGATCCTTACTACAAATGAGACCCCAAGATCCCAGGGCAGTAAGGGAGCCACAATTCTCCTTTCTCATGTCCCTGAGTCTGCTGGCCCACATGCTGTACAGTTCCTTATACACAGACCACAGCTGCCCCCCACCCCAGAAGCAATGCTATGGCATCCCAGATTGGGTACTGGGTGGAATTTGCGCTTTTTACTTGAACCACACGAGCATAGTTTGTGGAGGGTAGACTGGCAGGCACCATCTTTCTGATATACAGGGACTACGTGGGTGCACAGTTGTAAACCAGACTCCTCTGAAACAAACATGACACTACAAAAGGAAAAGATATCTCGGACAGCTCCTGCTGCCTGGGGATCCACAGGTTGATCAAAGGCACTGAGGACAGGAGGCCAGCCCTTGACTCCTGGTCCAGGATGGGTCACAGCCATGCCCTGAACCTCAGTGTCCCCATCTGAGCATTGTCACCTGTCAGTGCCTGGGACCTGTCAGGTTCCACAGTGGGTGAGCTCTGTGGATGTGACCTTGTCTCCCTTTGGCTGCATCATCTTGATTACTGGTTGGTGAGTGCCCACTCCCTCTGGTGGCTGATGAGACGGCAGGACCAAGAGCTGGGCAGGGGTGAAACAGGGTGGCCCTGCCTCTAGAGTACTGAGGGCTTTGGGGAGCCACCCTCCTAGCTCACCTCACCATCATGCCTGAGACCTCCTCTCCTCCATTTCATACCTCAAAACTGCTGAAGCATTGTTCTAGAACACAGAGTAGCTGCCTTTTGCCACCTGAAACCCTGCAGTGGCCTCAAATGCCCTTAGCACTAGGTCCCACCTCCTTGGTAGGCTCCTCACAGCCTGGCCCCTCTCCTGTCTTGTCTGAACCCCTCTGGTCTCCACATCAAGCCCAGTGCTTCCTCACCTCCCTCAGTCTTTGTTGTTTGGCAGGCCCGGGCTGGACTTGAACCCTCCAGCTCTGGTGTATGTGGCTGGCGCTGTAGCTGCTGAGCCACAGGCACCGAGCCAACACCTCCCTCAGTCTTCATGGGCCATTCAGTCTAGTGGGTCTGCCTGCCCCATGTTTCCAGTCTGCAAGCCATTGCCGGACCTGCCGGTGCCTATGTCACCACCTATAAATGCACTCATACTAACCACCCCACTGAAGTGGGTGCTGCCCTTCCTCCTCTGCTTTCAGGGCCCCATGGACGTCTCTCAGGCATTCTGTGTCCCCTGCAACCACCCCACTGGATAGGCATTCTTCAGAGACAAGTTGACTTGACTCTCGTGTTACCATAGATCTTGAAGGCATAGTTTGCTTTGAGCTCCCGGGGCGCCGACTCGCAGAGCACAGAAAACATGTCCACAAAGTCATTGAAGGTGAGGTTCCCCTCGCCATCCTCAGAAAAAGCTTCCACGATCCTTTCTTTGAAGGGATTCTCCTGAAGAAAATAATCATAGCAATCTCCATGAGTGTGGGTTAAGCAGGAGGACCCCAGAGCCAGACTGCTTACAGTTTGCATGACCTTGGACAAGTGGCCTACTTCTAAGCCTGTTTCCCCATCTGTAATATGCAAATGATGGCAACTACCTCACTGGGTTGTGAGGGGATTCAAGTAGGAAGGTGCTGGCATGTGTAAGAGCTCAGCATATGTTCCTTTGGGTCATGTCACACCATTCACAGCAGCATTTCAAGGGGAGCACAGCCAGCACATGCTGCCTTATCCAAAGCAGGAGCACACATGGGTCCCACTGCCCAGAGAGCACACAGAAGCTCCACCTGATGTGCAGGGCTCTGTCTCCAGCAAGAAGAGACAAGGGCATGGACAGCTCTCAACTCAGGCCATGTCAGGTCAGGGTATGGCAGGCAGAGGTAGGGGCCCAAAGAGTGGGGCAGCTGGGCTCAAATAAGCACCAAGAGTCGGACAGCAGTCAGGGGCCAGGCTCACAATCATTCTGCCTAAGAACCCCTGAATTCTCCCAGACCACCCTGGATGCTGCCTCCCCTGGGGAGCTACACGCTGACCCTTTCTTCTGGCCCCACATCACTTGGGCCCACCTCTCCTGTAGAACTCACCCCAGCTGACTAGCACTTGGCTGGTCCCATTCTGTGCCCAACCCAGGCCAACACAGGAGACTTAGACACAAACTATATGGTTTCTGCCCATGGGTGCCTCACACCCTCCTGGGACCCTCTGAGCCTGGCTTTCAGCCAGGTTGGGTGCCTGTCCATGGCCTGGGGCTTGCTGTCTGTCAGGACTGAGGCCACAAGCACGGTGCAGGCCTCAGGGAAATGCTATGCAGCACTCTGACCTGGCCTCTAGCCATACATCGCAGGCCTGGGGCAGAGGGCAATTTGCAAAGTCCTGCAGCAGTGTATAGGCTTGTGCCCAAGTGCCTTCTCGACACTGGAGTGCACTTTACATATTACGGGTAAGCAGCACCAGCAACGTTGGCCTAACCTGAGAGCTAGTTAGAAAAACAACATTGACTCTGTCCCAGATGTATTGAACCTGAGTCAGCATTTTGAACAGTGCTCAGGAAGTTGTGTGTATGTTCAGTCTGAGAGGCGGTGCTGCAGATGCTGACCTCAGTGAGAAGCCACAGCCAGACAAGAGGGAGACAGAAAAATCATCTAAAATGGGAAACACAAATCTGCCAAGAATAGCAGGTTGAGACCACTTAAAGACACAAGCAGGGCAGCCCAGGCAGCAGCAGGCAGAGGGGCAGCCACTGCTGTACAACACCCTCACTGAGGTCTGCACACACTGCATTTATTCATAGAGAGTAGACGAGGAAACTGAGGCACAGAGTGGTTCAGTGATCTGCTCAGGGTGGGACAGACACAAAGGATGGAGCCAGCCAGGTTCAGCCGACCTGGGTGCCCTGCCACCTGGCCCAAGGCACAGAGACCCCCATTGCCCTGCCACAGCAGAGGCCTCCCCCGCGTACCCGGAGCTCTGGCATCTGGATGATGAGGCTCATGGGCACATGGACGATAGGGCTCTTCCTGTAGTCCAGTGGCACGAGGTTGGGCGCCAGCTCATAGAACCGTGCGTGGAGCCTTCAAAGGAAGCAGAGGAAAAGCGCTGGAGGGGCATCAGCCCTGGACTCCTGAGTAGCTCGGTGGCTGCTACCCAGGCCTTGGCCTCCGCAGACCCACCTCAGCCAGGACCAGGGAGGGGCCTGTGTGAGGCCATCTGCTCTGGCCACAGGAGGAGGTTCTGTTTTGCTAACCCATGTCCAGGCCCTCCCTGCTCCACCCCAACACACACCAGCCACCCCACTACCGCCCCTCCCCGACTCTCCACTCCTGGGCCCGGAATCAGATCTTTTTGTTCATCCCCCTTCTGGCTCTTATGGGGTCTTTGGTGTTCCAGGCACTGTGCTACGCACTTAATGCTCACCTTATTTAATCCCCTGATGTTCACTGTGCAGACAGGTACCCCAGAACCCCTGTCTACAGCTCAGTAAATTGAGGCTTAAGAGATCGTGAATACTTTGTCCAAGGTCACATAATAGGAAGTATCCAGGCCATGGTTGGAACCCAGGACTATAAATCTAGAGCAGAAACTCTTAGCCACCCTCCACCCACCACTCTTGAGGGTCCATCAAAGCTGGGGCCCCACCACCCCAACTCAGGCCAAGAGCTGGGTCTCCAGAAGTGCTCTCAGCAGCCCTGACATCCTCAGGAAGCCACCATGAACAGGCCACCCACACCTCTCTCTAGCAGGAGGCCACTGGAACCCAGCCTGCTACCTGGGCCTGGCCTTCCTCAACGATGGCTTGGGTGCCCAGTTCCTGTCCCATCCTCCTGCATAAGCCTATTTCAGTGTGCTGGGTATGAGGCATCCTGACCACATCTCACTTGGAAGCCTCCTCCCCATTATTCAGTCCTCCTTTCTCCAGTGCCCCCACATTCAGGTCCTGCCAAGACAGGCCCAAGGCATGTTCACACAAAATTGTGTCTACAAAGTGCTTCTAGAGGAAGGAGACAAGTGTAGGGGGGTTGGTGAGGGGTCAAAGCAAGCTAGCTTCCCGATGAGGTCACTATATGAGCCCACATATCCTGGGCCCAGGCCTCCCCTCCTACCCCCAGAGCCACATCACCCTGTGTCTTCTTCTAAGTGGTTGAACCCAATGATATAGCCTCAAGGCCCACCCTTAGCAGGCCCATCAGCACAGCCTCCCAAGCCTCCCTTAGGTCCCATGAGTCCTCCCTAGCAGGCCTGACCACCTACCCAGCTCACACAGATAACAATGCCAGAATAACAGGTGTGCCCTGTGCCAGGCCTTGGCTGATGCTCCATGTGGATCACTGTGCTCACTTTAATCCCCAAACCACCCTGAGAGGTAGATATTAGTCTCCCATTTTTCAGGTGGGGGAAACTGAGGCTCAAGGATGAAGGGCCTGCCCCAGCTTACACAGCCATGGTGACAGGATTTGAACTAAGGACCTCAGGATTCTAGCTGCTTGGTTCCCTGGCAGGCATGTCATCACCTGGTTCAGAGCCCATCCGCGGCAGATGAAAAGCAAAATGCCACAGGCCCATTTTCACAGCCACACATCCCTGTAAAAGGGCCTGAAATCACAAGGAAGCACCATGACTTGGAGATACAGCGAGGGAGGCGGAATACCCAAACCTATCCCTTGCATGGGAGGGGGGTCAGCAAATGTCAGGGTGGTCAGGGTAGCAGGATCAACCTGGAACTGTCCACAAGAGGGTACTCGAGGACCTCCTTTGCTCCTACTTCCTGTATTGAAGAAATTTTTTACACTTTTTACACTTTCCCTAAACACAGAACCAAAATGTTTCAAAATTCATGCATCTGGTTTCATTTTCCTTTGACAGATCCACAGTGTTTCCAACTGTTACATTTCTCACTGTAACCTTAACCCTCACCTCACATATTGAGAGTGATGTTGGGTACTTCTGGGGTTAGCTTGTACCTCCAAAGTTACACAGTGTAGCTGCAGGAGGGGCCTGATGCCAGGCTGAGGTTGGAGCCCTGCCCACACCATGCTCGTTGGTGGCCTTGGGTAAGTGGGTTAACCCACTGGAGAATAAATTTCCCTATCAGAAAAGTGGGGCCTGTCCTACCTATTATTCTCACACATGTGAGGATTAAATAGGATGATGTTAGTAAAACCACCCAACCTTCAGTAGCTGTTAGCATGTTGCTTGCCATGGCAGGGCTCCTGATGTGGGTGGACTTGGGAGAGGGGCCGTGGGTGCCTGGTGGGGTTGATGAGGTTCCTTCTGGTGGGTGTGGGAGGGCAGGCCAGCTTCTATCTTGGTAGACAAATCTGTTCCAAAATTAAGTTGACAGATTTTTTTTTTTTTTTTTTGACATAGAATCTCACTGTGTCACCCTGGGTAGAGTGCCATGGTTTCATAGCTTATAGCAACCTCAAACTCTTAGACTTAAGCAATCTTCTGGCCTGAGCCTTCCGAATAACTGGGACTACAGGCATGCACCATCATGCCCTGCTAGTTTTTCTATTTTTTAGTAGAGATGGGATCTCACTCTTGCTTAGGCTGGTCTCAAACTCCTGAGCTCAAGCAATCTACCTGTCTCAGCCTCCTTACAGAGTGCTAGGACTACAGGCATGAGCCACAGTACCCAGCCTTATAGAATTTTTTTTTTTTTTTTTTTTTTTTTAAGGAAGATAATCCAAGGAAATTTGAAAATCCAAATCAGTGTGGGAAAAACCCCAAAACTTTCAAATAACTATCTCTCTGTCATCTTCTCCCCACAATAAAGGGCACAGAGTTCGAGATTTACATATTAGTTTTAACATCCAGAACCACAAATAATGCTACCTCAACTGCTCCAGAGCATGTGGCAAAAAAAGGAAAAGCCTCCCAGTTTATTTTAGAAAGTTAGTAAGAACCCTGACACACAACCCACTGGGTAGCATTCAGCATGGCCCGATGGCACATCCACATACAGAAGCACGGGTCTAATGAAAGGCCACACTGGTGCATCATGTCCAACAGTATTTTAAAGAGAAATACCTTAGGACCAAGCAGGACTTATTCCAGGATGCAAGGATGGTTCAATGTTTGGAAATCTGTGACTATAAATCATATTACCAGATGAAACATGTTTGGATCTATTTGACAGACACATTTGTGACTATATGATTGTATAGATACAGAAACATATCTGAAAAGTTATAGACCACATGTTTACACTTTATGTGAAGTGGGAATGGAGATAGGTGATAAAAGGAAGATGGACTTTTATTTATTACTTTACCTCTTCTCAATTGTTTGGATTTTTAAAAGTACTTATGAATGAACGAAAATTTTAAAAGTATGCATTACTTTTGTCCATAAAAAATTTAAAATTCTTTTTTTTTTTTTTTTGAGATGGAGCCTCAAGCTATCCCCCTGGGTAGAGTGCCATGGCATCACGCTCACAGCGACCTCCAACTCCTGGGCT